AGAGAGGACGAGTGATAGCTTATGCGTCGCTGCAATTGAAGCCGCATGAGACAAGATACCCTACATATGACTTGGAGCTGGGGGCGGTGGTATTCGCCCTCAAGATATGGAGACATTACCTTTACGGGGTCCGTTGCACCATATACACGGACCACAAGAGCTTGAGACATATCATGGATCAGCCAAACCTGAACATGAGGCAGCGCAGGTGGCTGGATGTAGTCAAGGACTACGACTGCGAGATCCTTTACCACCCTGGTAAAGCAAATGTGGTTGCGGATGCTCTGAGCCGCAAGTCAGCTACGTCTTCCGCCCCAGCGGTGTGTATGAGGATAGCAGTAGACTCTCCGCTTGTGAGTTTGATCAGGGATGCCCAGGTTGAGGGCATGCGACCGGAGAATTGGAAGCTGGAGAGGATCAAGGGTGAGAATGCCCGGTTTGTGCAGGATAGCCGGGGATTATTGACCCGATGCGGTCGGGTCTAGGTTCCGATGTCTGGTGGGGTCAGGCAGACGGTCATGGAGGAGGCTCATAAGTCTCATTTTTCTATTCACCCGGGGGCCACCAAGATGTACCGAGATTTGAGTTTGAGCTATTGGTGGTCGTGCATGAAGCGAGAAATCGCTTGGTACGTCGAGAGGTGCTTGACCTGTAGGTGGTCAAGGCCGAGCATCAGAAGCCGCATGGCAAGCTGCAGCCCTGGAGATTCCCATGTGGAAATGGGAATAGATCACGATGGATTTTATTACCAAGTTGCCGAGGACGGCGAAGGGGTTTGATACTATATGGGTCATCGTGGATCGATTGACCAAGAGTGCCCATTTCATGGCCATACGGGAGAGCTCGTCAGCCGAGAAATTGGCCGACGTGTACGTTCGCGAGATCGTGTCTCGCCATGGGGTTCCCGTTTCTATTGTCTCTGATCGGGATGTCAGGTTTACCTCCCGCTTCTGGCAGAAGTTTCACGAGGAGCTGGGCACACGGTTACACTTCAGCACAGCATTCCATCCGCAGACTGATGGTCAGAGCAAGCGGACCATTCAGAACCTCGAGGATATGTTGAGGGCGTGTGTCATTGATTTCGGTGGGAGCTGGGATTCCTACCTACCGCTTGCAGAGTTCGCCTACAACAACAGCTATCATTCCAGCATTGGCGCCCCACCATTCAAGCTGTTGTATGGGCGGAAATGTCGCACCCCGGTCTGTTGGGGTGAGGTTGGTCACAGGGTGATGGGTCGGACGGAGGTGGTCTTGCAGACTACCGAGAAAATTCAGCAGGTTAGACAGCGGCTGCAGACCGCTCAGAGTCGGCAGAAGAGTTACGCTGACCGACGCCGATCCGAGTTAGAGTTTCAGGTCGGTGACATGGTACTCCTGAAGGTCTCGCCCTGGAAGGGCGTGATCCGCTTCAGGAAGAGGGGAAAATTGGGTCCCCGAAATATTGGGTCGTTCAGGATCATTGCCAGGGTTGGCAAGGTGGCTTACAGACTAGAGCTGCCGGAGGAGCTTAGTCGGATCTACAGTACTTTCCACGTTTCGCAGTTGCGAAAGTGCAGTGTGGACCCGGAGGCAGTGGAAAGTGAAAGGAAAGTGAAAGTCCTGCGCAACAAGGAGGTTCCGTTGGTAAAGATACAATGGGAGCCTCGGAGGGGATCCGAGTGGACATGGGAGTCGGAGGCTGAGATGCGGGAGCATTATTTGGAGTTATTCGCTACAGCAGACTTCGAGGACGAAGTCTAAGTCAAGTGGGGGAAAATTGTAACATCCCAACCGTCAGGTATTATTAATTTTTTTCCATTAAGACTTCATGTCTAAGGTCTACTCGACGAGTTGGCGCTTGACTCGTCGAGTAGCAGTGGGCCAGGACACGTCAATTAATGAGTGACTCGTCGAGTCAACATGAAGACTCGACGAGTAGGAGCTGGCAGTGGAAACCCTAATTCACAGGGTTTTGCACCCTATATATTGGACCATTAGCGCCTCTCACTGTCCTCTATCACCCTCTTGAGACCTAGAAACCCTAATTTCCGTGAGTGAGAGCTTGGAGAGTGTTTTGGAGCTTTGGGAAGTGACTTTTGTGAAGGAAATTTGTAGATCAAGAGGCTAGCATCAAGATTTATGTGTGGATTCAGAGTCTACTTCAATTTGGGCACGTTTTGGAGGTAACCAGCTTTTACCTTGACCTCTTTTTCTTCTAGAATCATTCATATGTGGAAACTAGGGCTTTCTTTAGTTATTCATGAAGGGATTTTGGTATGGGAGCTAGATCTGAAGTTGAAACTTCAGATCTAAACCTCTTTTGAGTCCTAAGTCCATAAAGTTTCTAGCTTTTGCAAGGATGAGCCTCTCCTTAGATTGGTAATTTAGAGCCTTTAGGGCCTTGCATGCGTGTAAAGTTTGCAACTTTACGTGATAAACATTCCTTAGAAGCTTGGATCTGTAATCTGGAACCTTGGCATGGCTTGAAAAGTGTCTGCATGGATGAAGGTCTGCAAGGACTCGGCGAGTTGCATAGTCAACTCGGCGAGTCATATGAAGATGGTCATGAACTCGTCGAGTTGATGAACAAACTCGGCGAGTCCGTTGAAGATTGCCTTGAACTCGGCGAGTCGTTCGAAGACTCGGCGAGTCGGCTAGGGTTTCTCCCAATTCTTGGACACGTATGAACTCGGCGAGTTAAAGGGGAACTCGACGATCCAATCAAGGATTTCACGACTTCTTGAGTTCAGGAAGGACTCGACGAGTCGGTAAACTACACTCGACGAGTTGAGTCAACATGGACTGTTGACTTTGACTGTGGACTTTGACTTTGACCAAGAATTGACCAGTTGACTTCTGAGGGTATTCTGGTAATTTGGAAATTTATGAAAAAGGGTTTTATGGTAACTATAGGTGGTGGAGTTCGTGTTGGTGATCCGGGAGTTGAGCTTTCTAGTTGCAGACGTCAGTTGCAAGGTGAGTTATCCTCACTATATCAACAGGGTCTAAGGCACCAAGGCCGACCCTTATGGATTTGTATTTGGATTATTACATAATATGTGCATTGTTTCGCATCCTGTTAGTTAGGATGGTGATATGCTTATGCTTAGTGATCGGGTTCGGTCGATATCCTAGTTACAGGATTATGCTATGATATGACCTGGGTAGGTCGGTGTCCTGGTTTAGGACGTTGCTATGCTATTTGATCTGTTAGATCGGTTTGTCTGTTATTATGATAGCCTATGAATGTATATGCACATGTTGTTTGATTTGGGTGTTGGGTTGAGGCGGTCCTGCTTTGTGCTGAAGGCCAACATACCCAGGGCGGTCCGGATAGACTACAAAACCCAAGAGGGTATGATAGTCAGACCGAAGGCCCGACGAGCGGTCCGGATAGGCTGAAGGCCCCGCGAGGCGGTCCAGACGTGCCGAAGGCTCGGAGAGCGGTCCAGATAGACTGAAGGCATGCGAGGCGGTCCAGTCAGGCTGAAGGCTCATTATGCTTGCTGTTTGGTTATATGTTTATATGGCATGGTTATGTGGTTGGTATTTTGGGGGATAGCTCACTAAGCTTTCAAGCTTACAGTTTCAGTTGTTGTTTCAGGTACCTCTGGTGATCGCGGGAAGGCGAAGGCATGATCGTACCGCTCCTCTCGCTGTTATGACTTTTATGATTTGATACTGGGATACTCTAATAACTGTATTTTGAAAACAAACTATGTAATGACTTAATGGATTAAAATGTTTTTAAAAAAGTTTAAATTGGGTTAAATTTTTAGGTGTCACAGAAAAAAAAAATTCAACAATGCTCATGCACACCTTCGAAATATTATTAAGCGTGTTTATGGTGTTTTGAATACAAGATTCTTAATCTTCAAGCAAATGACTCCTTATCCTTTTCTGGTACAAATAGACATAGTCATTACTTGTTAGTTGTTTCACAACCCATAATTTCATAAGAAAATACAATATTGATAATGAATTATTTATAAACTTCGAAGAGAACACTATGAGTAGTAATAAAGTACAAGGGAATAAAGTGATGGCCAAAATGTACATGACATTGATGAGGAGGAAAATGTGAATGAGAAGACAATGAATAGATAACTTATTTGTTTTACTAGATTGCGAATGAATTATTTTCAGTTGTTTCAGATTAATATTTTTTTAGGATTTTATTTGAATTTTAGAATGTTGTCGTGGATTTTAAAAAAAAAATTATGTTGAATTTCGATTTTGCAAAGATTTATGTTTGATTTGGATGTTGTTTGATGTTTTATATATTTTTTTTATAATTATTCAGCAAGTTGATTCAAATATTTATAAAACAACAATATTTAAATCAACAGAAAATAACTCTCATGAATAACATTTTTATAAATTTAGATGTCTAACCAAATTATTTTCAATTAGATACAACTCCATGCTTGATCATCTCTCTCCTTCGATTTCTCTTTAAAAAAAACTACAAGATGGTCTTGGTAAGCATTTATAAACCAATTACGCTTGAATGTAAACTGTCATGTTTGTGCAGAAATGATTTTCACTAAAATTTATCATTTGGACATTGATAAAATATATTTACCAAAATAATATTAAAAGAATTAATACCAAAAATAAAACAATACATGTATTAAGTGCGTGTTTTTTGAAAAAGATAGAAAAAGTTATTTTATTATTTTTTTTTTGTCTAAAAGGTTTGTCTTCACCAAACACTTTTTTAGCAATAAGTTAATAATAAATTATTTTAAAAATTACTCCCCAACACCCACTAATACTAAGCAATATCAAAATATAACATATCAAGTTATCAATAATAAAATAACATATCCATGAGGCCATGTGTTTTCGAAAAGAAGAGTGTGAATGTTTTTTGGGTAAAGCTTCTCGAAAATTTGTCTCTCTCTTTTTATTTTTATTTCTTCACCTTACTACTTACTTTTTGTTTCTTTATTTATAGTTTTATGCCATAAGGTTTAGGGCCCTGAGCAAAGAATTATAAAATTTCGAACTCTTGGACATTCTCAAAATAATTTCCACAAAAGTAACGATCCTTTTAATACAAGAGTACACCAACAACAAGAACGAAAATACAACTCAAAAGTAACCTACCATGCTTTCAAAGCTCACGCGCCTAGTTGGTTCGCAGAGCGACAAAAGACCTTCAAACAAGAAGGTCTGGACAAGATATCCGTAATCCACGCGCTGACATGCGGCCGCGCGTCAAACACCTTCTTCGTCTGAGTCCCCATCAGGAACTTGATCACAGGAACGTGGTAGAGGTCCGCCATCGAGAAGCTATCTCCGCCCAAATACTTGTTCTCCGTCAGCCGTCCTTCGTAGACGTCAAGCAAGTTCCCCAGCGCCTCTTCCTTCACCTTCACTACGGCCTGGTTTTCTTTTTCTCCAAATAAGAGCCGCTTCATACACAGCTCCCATACTAACCTCGTAGTCGCCGGTTCAAATTTCTGAGACTCCACTTCCATCCACACTGATTGCTCCGCCGCCTTCTTCGGCTCCTTGCTTATCAGATCCGTCCCCTGTTTAACGTATGTGCGTTCTATGTATTGCATAATCGCCCTTGATTCTGCAACATATATACCAAATATCAAGCTTATTTAATAATTTTCAAACTAATAGGCAACAAACAGGTGAAGTATTTACTGATTGATTACCGATGAGTTTGAAATCACCGTCTTCAACCGCCGGAATTTGACCGAACGGCTGCACATATATGAATACATATCGAAACAGAAGAAATTTGAATAATTAATTAAACATATACATTGCCGAAACTAATGATATATGTCATACGTACATTGATTGAAAGTAGATGAGGCTTTTTGTGTTCACCGGATGCCAGATCGACGTGAATAAGCTCGAAATCAATATCCTTTTCGGCGAGGCAAACCAGAACGCGGAGAGTTGCTGTGGAAATCATGGAACCGTAGACCTTCATCACCATCGTAATGGAAGCTGGATCAACAAGTAACGTTGGAAATAAAGGCGGGTGATCAGGCTATGGATCTCCTCTCCTAGGTTCTTGTTTCCTCCGAGCTCCTCCATAATACCAAATCCTGTTATTTAAAAGGCACCATTAACATTTCTACTGACAAATGGTAGTGACATTTAAAAACAATGTCAGAGAAAACATTCAATTTACACTTCTTCCCAAATACACCATTTAAAACATGCCAAAAAAATAACCTACCTATAGTTCTACTTAATTTTTTTTTAACAATAAATCTAATTTAATATAAACTACTTTTAAATACATTTATATCTCGGCCGAAACTTGAATCCTCGACTTCAAGAGGAAAGATAACATTTGATATCATTGGCCTAAAAGTCATTTTAATGATGATATTAATTATCAACAATAATAGAGTACCCACAAAGGTGTTTTTAGTCTTTTCTTCATTTGCAATATGACACCTATTCTAAATTTGAAAGCCATATAATATATTTTTTTCAACTATAATAAGGCTTTCAAAGTTTTTTATGGTTGCCTCTTCTTTGGAATACAAAAGTTATCAACATTTGGATATTAACCGATATTGTTTTATGTTTTGTAGGACCATGAATGTAAGATTGAATTGGAATTAAAATATTCAACCAAAATAAGTTCATATTCAAATTTGCTCATAAGGTCATAACATCATAGGTGTATATCATTATAACTTGATGTTGATTAAGATGTTGATATGAAATTAAATTTAACTTTTTAAACATGAAACATAATTTTTGTTGATGCAAACGTCAAAATTAGGAAGAAAACATTTTAATTACGAAAAAAAAAAACAAGATCCCTGTGGTTTCTATAATTTGCAGTGTTGGTCCTAAACTATGACAACCGGAAAACTTGGAGTCGAACCAAGTCAAAGGATGTACCTTGTATAAGTGAAGCCACAAGTGTAACCTTGTTGCAATAGAACTTTGAAAGCTAAGAGGGTATGTTTATATATGTTAATATATATATATATATATATATATATATATATATATATATATATATTGAAAACCATGCTTATATAAGTTATATATGTATATATTGGAAACCATATTGAAATAAGTTAATATAAGTCAACACAAGTCAAAAAGTTAAGCCTAAAACCATAAATAATACCTTATATATGAGTTTACAGTTTTGGGAATCAAAGTTCAATGGGGTTTTCGGTTTCGGTAAGACCGAAATTTCATAGTGTTTACCCCTTGAACCGAAATCACCCTCAAGGATCCTCCTCATGACCGAAAACACCTTGTTTATGGCCCATTAAGGCCGAAATCTCTTCTTAGATGAAGCTAGGACCGAAAACTCCTTTGTGTTTGCTGCCAAGACCAAAAACTCTTTTGATTTTGGTTTACCTTTGGCCGAAATCACCATTAAAGTGGGTAAGTGGTGCCACTTGATTGGTAGTTTAGCTTCCCTAAGTGATAATTGCACATTTCAATGTAAACATCAACTCATAACCTTATCATTCTCTTCCTATTTAATCACGATTTGAGATCATTCTCACACCTCATTTGCAGTAAACAAAATCCCTCTCATTTCTCTCATAGAAACCAAACTTATTTTCTCTCAAAAATTCACCTTCAAACATTCCCAGTGATCAAGTTCTTCAAGTTAACTCTTATATAATTAATTGTAAGTTCTTTCCATTGTATCTAGTGTTTATTCAACACTTTAAGTCATTAGTTCATTCTAATTCACACATTATTATGTGTTTAAAACCGTTAGGATACAACGTCCTTCACGTATTCTAAACTCGAAGATTACCGTTGTTATCTCGTTATCTAACCGCAATCACACTCGATGTGAGTTCATACCCCTACACTTTTCAATGATTTTTCTATGTTTTAAGGGGGGGAATACAAGTAAAACACAAGGAAACTTGTGTAAAAATACAAACCTTTATTTATGTTTTCTTACCTTTTATATGCATTTTACGTGAAAATACCAAATATGCGAAACAACGTTACTACCAAACATATAAATTTTACATGCAAAGTTGTTAAAACACAAAGGCTTTCATTTCAACGAAACATACATTTTAAACTATAATAGGTATAGTTTGTGAAACATTACGCTATTTTACTTTTTCGGGATTTAGAAATAATTATATAAAAGTATAATTATTTTCATACTATACAAACACCATGAAAGGGTAATGCTTGCATCTACAACAAAAAGGGTTTTCATTTCATTTAACGTAAACTTGTTAATGAATAAATTTGTGAGACATTCGGCTTCACGGTACTTTTAAAGTACTGCATTAAATTTCTGTAATTGTAATCAGAATCTCTTGTAGGGAGAGTGTGATATTTGTGTATAGATCTATACGGGACTGACAATCTCGCACCTAAACTGTTAGCTACAGTTAGATCGGCAGGTCTGGAGTGACAAATGTCATAACATTCCCACGCCTGAAGAACGTCGTTACAGGCCAACTAGTCGCTAGCATGGTTATAATAACTCACATGTGGTATTAACAATACATTTAGTTTACGGGGCTAACAAACACTTAAATGTTTTATATACGTATAAAACTACACACACTATTTTAAGTATGGGAAATACTTATACATTTCGGTCTTGGAACATTTAAGACTAAAGCTCATTTTATAGAAAATATTGGATTTTCTGAAACAAACACTATCATTTTACGAACAACGACTTACAACTCGTTTTATGGAAAATATCGGATTTTCTGGAAACAAACACGTTTACTTTACACGGAAAGGCATACATTTTCTCATACAAAACGCTTATGAACTCACCAACTTAATTGTTGACACTTTTTCAAAACAACTTGTATTCTCAAGGAATCAGTAATACAGGTAATCACCAGCTTTTGAGGACAGGACGCTACGGCGCCGATTAAAAACTCATTTTGTCATCATATTGTAATTTATTTGGAAACATGTAACTCATGCAACAATCTAACCTTTTAAATTATATTTATGATGGTTGTGTTTGCTTTCTTTACTATTACTCAACTGTTATGATATTGTACATGACGTCATCCGCCCCCGAACGTTTCCGCCGTTCTGGTTTGGGGGTGTGCCAGATTGGTATCAGAGCATTGTTTATAGTAAACTAAGTATATCAAACCACGTAAGATATACAAACTATAATTACAATGGGACTAAAACTCTCTGACGTAACATTTTCGTACAAATATATTTTAAACTATTATGATATTTTTATAAAAGTATAAGTACAATCATACTCACTAGTTCGGTATCGTATCAGTAACAAAACAAAAAGTATTGAGATAAGTTGAACACTACGAGTAGGCCTCGGGGTATGTAATCAGATCAGGGATGAATATATCTTGATCAACTATATTTATCCGGGATGTGACCAACGTATGCCGAGGGATGGTCGTAGTGAACAACAAGTCTAAAACTTACCAACCCCTCATACCAAGAAACTCGAGAACCAAACATACAAGTTTAAAATACTATAGGAGTATTTTATGATACCAGAAGAACCGTAACAAAAACGTCTAAGCCCCGATATTTATAATCATTAGGAACCATCTCACAAAATTAAATCAAATTTTTCACATAAAAACTAAAGACCCTTACGGGTAGGTCTATAACTGCAAAGTGTATACGCTAAGGTTATTTATGATTAAGATTCTATAGACTTAGGATTTATGATTCCACTTTTAATCATGTTCCTTGTTTGGTTGTGGGTTTAGAGTGGAACTAATTATCCGATGGTCTATTCGATCTTGATTATATACAACATGTATACACTAGGTAATTATAGAAGGACCCAGTATGGGCCACAATCTTATTAAAATTATTTCTATTAAAATTTTAATTTTCTTTTCCCTCAAAAATATTACAGAATTATATACTTAAGTTTTCATATATTTCTCAAATCCCTATTCTCGCACAGACGCAATGGTAGGATTTCCCATACCAGGAGATCCCTATTTCCTTCACCAAGGGAATGTTGGTTGCATCGTAGAGGATCAACCGATTGATTCTCACCGAACCGGTAGCCATCTTAGTGTTATGTTCTCAAGCATCTTTTGTTTCTTTGTTTAGAGGGTGTTTGGGATTCCTTTTAGAATTTTGACTTTTAACTTTTTAAAAATTAAAAAAAAAGTCAAAAGGTGTTTGGGTAATAGAAAAGTTCTTATGAAAATGACTTTTTGTATTGAAGAAAAAGAGGGGTTTCTAAAAGTCATGAAAATGTGACTTTTTGTGACTTTTAGTTATTTTACATTTAAAAGTTAAACCAAACACTTTTTGAAAACAACTTTTGGCTTTTTGCCCCTCAAAAGCTAGTCCAAACACATTTTAAGAAAGGGATAATGACTTGAGAGGGTAACGTATTTAGCTTTTAGTCACATTCGGTCACTAAATTAATTTTTCGTGCTTTATTAACCCTTGAACTTGTTGAAACGTATACATTATACCAGTATGACCGGTAATATTGGGTTTTGCCGGTTTCCAACATTGTTTCCGGCCAAACATGAGTTTTTTCGGTCATCTTCTACGGTCAAACTCCAAATCCCTTCTGTATCACTATCTTCTCCACCCAAACGTGTAATTCCCTCGGAACTTCCATAGCAAACGCTTCACCTGCATCTCTATCTTCTCGTCCAAAATGGACCACCTGTCGAGGATCCAGACCGCAGGTATCACACTCGCTCTGGAGGTCATGGATTTTACCATTATCTTTGAATTGAGCTTTCGTAGCATACACTTTCTTCACAATGTGTTCTCTTTTCAAAGCACGGAACGAATTCGACAACCCATTTGTTTTCTTGAAGGTTTCATTTCTCATATCCCCAATTAACAAAACGATTTCACCTTTAAAAGCAAGAACAGAGTAAAAACCTTTAACGGGTTTCGGGTTGGATCCGAATTAGGCACTTGTAAGGTCCTAACAAACATCAATGGCGACGGAATCAACTTTAGGACGTCTGGAACCTTTTCTTTTTGAGAAAATCGAAGGCTTAACATCAAGTCTGGAGAGACATTTATTCGACAAATCTTTAATTTCAACACTAAAGCAATGACCCACAAGATTTTTGTTCTAAGTGATGATTATTAAACGAGATTTACCAAGAAATTTACACTGATAAGCACATGTGACCAATTTTTGAGAAGCTTTCGTTTAACTTACAGTCGTTATTGATGTCG